CCCCACCCCCAATCCACAGCTAAGTCAAACTCCTAAGGACAGTCTGTCTGGTAGAGAGATGTTGCGAGAGGAGCCGCACGCCTGCAGCGACAGCCCCTGCACTGGGCTGGCCCAGGCGGGCTCCAAGGCCTGCGCTGGGTCTCCCCAGGGCAGACGTTTTCACCAGGTACCTTACCCAGAACGAGTGGGGTGATCCCAGCTGCTTGCGCCCTAGTGGACTGAGCCTCCCTGCCCGTCAGTGAGGGGCAGGGCACTTTGGGGATGGCTGGTGTGGAGCTACTAGGCCTGGGGGCGAGGGCTCCCGAGGCTGCCAGCCTGTTGGGCCGGCTGCAAACAGCCCTGTGTGGCTGTCTTCTGCAGACCTACCACCCGGGCACGGGCCCTCTGGGGTGGCTCCTGCCGAGTGAGTGTGAGCCCAGGGTGGGCGGGCACGTCTGGGCCGAGTGCCCTTCCTCTCTGCTCGGCGCTGTGGTCTGCTGCTACTGCCACTGCTCCCTTGAAGGGAGCAGATGCCAGGAGGAGGTCAAGGCCCATGGGCCTGCCTGCTTTAGGCGCCGGCTCCTCCGGCCCCCAAAATGGAGCAGGAAGTGAGCCTGATGTCACCTCTCAGCCCTGGAAAAGAGAGAAAATACAGCTCTGCGGCAGGCGTAGAGGGGCCTTGGCCCTCACAGTGACGCCCAGAGGCTAGGGAAGGGGTGAGGACACCCAGGGTGGCAGCTGCCTGGAGCCCTCAGGGACAGCCTCAATGCAGGGAGTTTTCACTCCCTGGAGACTGAAGGCTCTTGGACCCTGATTGGCCCAGCAGACACATACACTCACCACAAGATGCAAGGACCACAAAGCTCAAACCTGGGGCTGTGGTTGGGGAAGGGGGCAGGCCTGGGCAGATGCCCTACTTAATAAGGGTTTTTAAGGAGCGGGTGAATGTGCTCATAACAGTCGCTGAAGTTGGGGAGCCTGGTGGGTGCCCTGTGGCCGCCCCTACAGCTGCTGCTGTCTGCTGCTGCTGCTGCTGCTGGTTGAGGTTGCGGGCAGTGGACTCCTCAGCTGCGCGCAGCAGGAAGGTGTAGTTCCTCACCACCTCTTCTACCTTGGCCAGCAGCTCTTGGCGCTGGGCCTCGGAGCGCACGATAAACACCAGCCGCACAAAGGTCTCAATGAGGCTGCTCAGCACCTGGAAGCTGCCCGTGATGGCTGCCAGCATGTGAGTCGGGCTCTTGTCCACATTGGCCACGCGGCGGCAGGAGGCCCGGAGCTCCTTGAACTTGAGAGCCAGCTCGAGCTTGTACTCAGAGATCTGGGAGACGTAGGGTTTGGGGGCCCGGGCCTCGGGGCTGGCCACACACTGCCGCAGGACTGTCAGCAGCTCATTGGTGTCCAGCCGGGCAGCCAGGAAGCCGTCAGGCAGGCCATAGGCATGGGCCCGCAGGGCATTGATCTTGGCCAGGCTCCCCTCGAAGGTGGACACCCGTAGGTCAATCTCCTGGGTGCGGGAGGCCTCGGGGCTGCCACTGCTGCAGGTGGCGGCATCCAGCACCTGCAGGGTCCTGCTCACCACAGGCACCACCTGCTCGTCCAACTTCATGCCAGGCAGAATCTTCATGGGGATGGAGTAGGAGAGCTCGTCCTTGCCATCGCTGGTGTCATCAGCGATGTCGCACTTGCGGTAGTAGAAGCAGTAGCGGATGGAGCAGCACTTGCTGCTCTCACTGTCCTCGTCCAGCTCGGCAGGCTTCCGGTACACCTCTTCTGGCAGTGAGAACACGGCCATCTGTCTGGGGCCTTTGGTCTCAGGGGCAACCTGGACGTATGAGGGGTCTCCCAGGGTCGGTGACTCCAGAGACTTGCTTTTGGGACCCAAGCCTAGGGGGAGGCCTCCCTCTACCTCCTTGGCCTCCCTGGGAAGCACGCCCAGGGGTGGGTGTGGGTAGACATCTGAGGTCAGCGAGGCCCTGTCACCCTGGTCCAGCTCACTGATGCTGTAGCGGCGCATCAGTTTCCTGTAGTTGGGTGCTCCCAGACACTCGCCCCCCGAGGCACATGTGCTCAGGCACGAAACACCACTCTCGGGCTCTGAGCGGCACTCTCGGGATTCCAGGCTGGTGGAGCGGATGCGCCGGATGTGGGTGGGGCTGCTGAGGCTCAAGCTTGGGCCGGCCTCTGGCTGCCTCTGGGTCGGGGGGACCCTGTCCCTCTCCCTCCCCCGAAGGCCAGGCGCTGGCGTCTGGGGGGCCTGAGGGCGGCTCCCCCGGCAGATGCGCTTGCAATCGCAGCTGCGCCTTTGCTCGCGGGACATACCAGGCCCCTGCTGCACAGGGCTGCTGCGGAGCTGGCAACTGCAGCGGCCTGGGGCCGGAGGTTGCAGGTACTCGGTGCCCGGCAGCTCCCCCTGGCTTGGGGGCTTTAGAAGTTCCTCGAGGAACTCCAGCTCATATTGCTTTACCTTCTGCAGCTGGGCCTGCCGCTCATCAGTCTCCTTCTTCTGGCGGGTTGGGAAGGTGGCAGAGAATAAACTGCGTAGCCGGAAAGGGCCTCGGGATGATTTGGGCTTTGTCGGGCCTTCAGAGGCTGAGTGGGTGCCATCCAGGGTTGTTTCAAGCTTCCTGGAGGGCATGGTGCTCACCTGCCGGCTGGCAGCCTGGGACCTCAGTGGGCTCTGGCCTCGAGGTTGGCAGCTGGGGCTCTGGCCTCGGGACTGGCTGCTGGGGCTGTGGCCACGGGGCTGGCAGCTGGGGCTGTGGCCTCGCGGCTGGCAGCTGGGGCTCTGCAGAGCCATGGGGTAGCTGGCTTGGAGGACCAGGCTGGTCTCCTCCAGCTTGCTGCTTTGGGATGCTCTCTCCAACTGCCCCTTCTCCCCCTGGCCAGAGACGGTGCCCTGCTTGTGCAGGGAGGGCTTCGCACTCTCTGGCCCGCCCTTGCCTGCCACCTCCCCTGTAGCTTGCTGGCCCACTGTCTCTCGACTTGCTCGTGAAACATAGCTTTTGGGAGGGAAATTCTGAACAGGCAGCCTGTCCTCTTGTGGGGAGAGGTGCAGGCTGTCAGCCCGGCTGCCTGTGGGTGCTCTGGAGCCAGAAGAGACCTCTGGGCTCAGCTGCTGCTGGGAATTCCGTGAGGTCTCTAGAGCACCAGAGCTCATTTTGAACTTAAGATTCTTATTGGCACTGCTGCTCATCATGCTAACTTCCTGCCTTCCCATGCTGACCTCCGGCCTCCCCACGCTGGCCTCCAGCCTTCTCTCCCCACTGCTGGGGGTGTTCCCCAAGGCCCCACCAGGGGCAGGGAGACTCTTAGTGTGAACCACCTGTTGTAGGGCGGCTGAGATCATGGCTGGGGTCATACTGCCCTTTGGGTCCAGGATAAGCTTGGGGCTCAACCTGACTTCCTTGGGCAGGTTCTCCCTTAGCTCACAGACCTGCTCTTCACTAAGGGTTGGTGTGGCTGCCCTCAGTGACATCTCTAGACCTGCCCTAGTCTGGCCAGGCCCTTTGTCCTCAGGAACTGGGGACAGCAGGCTCAGATTTTTCTGCTCACTAAGCTGTGGGGACAGTGCTGGGTGCACTGCCAGGGCGTATGTTCGCTCTCGCTGAGACTGGGCCTCTGACTGGGGCAGCTTCCTCCGAGCGCCAGTGGGGGCAGGACTCTGGCCTGTGACAGCTGACTGGAGGGACGGGTTGGGATCCGGGCGCCCGAGAGAATAAGGGGCTGTGAGAACAGCCTGGGCTGCGCAACTCTGGATCCGGAAGGGCAGGTCCTTGCGGGCCAGGAGGCTGTCCTTGTTGAGGTGCTGGGCCAGGAAGTAAGTGGTGTTCTGGTGCTGCTTCATGGCAGACATCATCTCCGACATGTCCGTGAGCTCTGAAGAGTTGGTTTCGTGGCCTGAGTCCAGCGAGGATTCAGGGGTGATTGTGGCCAGCACAATCAGACCTGGGGGAAGAGGGATACGGCTGCTGCACTTACTCAGATCAAGTCCTTTTCCAACCATATGTCAAGAGTTTATAGGGGCCGAGGTTAGCCAGCAGTATTTCAAGCTGGGGCAAACCAGTCAGGCCTGGGGGGACTGCAGGGCTGAGGGTGGGAGGAGGGGAGGCGGGGGGACAAAGACAGGCAAGTGGGAGAGGGGTTTTGAGGGGCTAGAATCCAAAAGAGAAATAAAAGAGGCACAAAGAAGATCTGGGCAGTTTGATGACAAATTAACATGCAAATCACATGCAAAACAACATGCTAATCATCACTATTTTTAGATTCAACAGCTAGGAAATTTTTGTTAATTGTCCTGAAGACAGCTGGCAAAGAGAGGTCCCTCTCTATCTGGCCCTCCACATCTGGCCAGGCCTGCCTACAGTCCTTGCAGCTGAGACCATTTAGCTGAGCTTGTCCTCTCTCTGGCTACCACATGGGCCTCCAGCCTGGGAGCAGCCAGTGCTGGGAGCTCCAGACTCTGAGCAAAGAGAAATGCCGGCCCCGAGGGCCAAACACATGGGGGCTGCCCGACACCAAGGATGCCCTCATATACAGAAAAGGGGGGCTGGTATTCTGCCTGGTCAGCCAGGCTCCCTCTGACCCCAATCTCTTCACCCTCTCTGTCCACACTTTCCCCTGCCTCACATGCTTTCTCATACACCTTATTCCTCCCTAGTCCTTTTCTGTTGCTGTATCCTTTCCCTCTTCTTTTTAAAGTGCATGTGTATGTATGTGTGATTACAGGTACATGTCTGACATGTGTGTTTGTCTACAAGATGGACGTATACGTGTCTATAACAGGGAATAGCATGCGTGTTGTATGGTTCTCCCACCAAACAATAATTTATAATAATAGCTACCACTTACTGAGTCCTTACTATGTGCTAGGCAGTGTGTAAGTGTAGTGCATGAATGATCTCATTTAATCCTCACAACAACCCGATGTCATATGACAATTTTTATCAAACCCATTTAAGATGACAAAAGTGAGGCTCAGAGAGGAGTGCCTTGCCAAAGGTCACACTGAAAGCGAGTGAAGAAGCCAGGACTTGGGTGCGTCTGCCTGAAAACCCATGCTCTTAGGTAGGATAAAGACCTCAGCCCTGAGCAGTGATGGCTCCTGGCTCCCCTGATCCCAGGTCACTAGGTGGTTAGTTGGTCGTTTTGTTTTTCTTCCAGTCATGTGCATGCTGGACGTTCTTTGCCTGTCTTCTATATCTCTCACAATTTTGCTCTGATCCTCCATCCTGGCCTGGCTCCGTAGCTGTCACAGCCCCAATCCCTGGGGTCCACCTGCAAGACATTTCAGGAATGGAACGGCGAGAGCCAGAGCTTTAGCTGAAGCTGAGCAGCCGATCCCTGCTGCAGTGTCGTTGCTCCCCTGACCCTATCTGAACTACCTCTGGCCCATCCACTGCCCTGATATGCCGTGGTGACTTTGACCTCTGCTTGGGATGAAGCAATGTCACCTGCTGGCCCTGCCTGGCCAGGAGAAGAAAAAGGAGGCAAGAGGGAGGAGGAACGGGCTGTTACCTGCAGTCTGTGGGGGTGGGGGGTGTGGTCCATCCTCTGAGGCTGCCAGGGCTTCCAGAGCCTGCAGAGTGGACACCAGGGCATCATCTAGCTCCTGGGCATGATCTCTGACTGTCCGGGTCTGCACGCTGTCAATCAATGTCACTGGAATCTCATCGTACAGGAGCCCACGCAGGTGGCGGCCTTGATCCTGGCTCTGGACGGCCCGGCGCTTGGAGTCATCCTCATCAGAACTGTTGTCTCTGAAACCAGGAGGTGGGGCGGCAATGGCAGGCAACAGAGAAGTGCTCTCATCTTCTTCCTCTTCCTCCTCTTCACTCCCAGGGGGTGGGAGGGACATCAAGTCTACCATATTGTCACGAGAGGAGCCAGGCCTCCCACCTTTGCGAGGGCCCAGCTGCTCCTGGAGTTTGGCTTTGCAAGAGTCACAGTAGAAATTCAGGGCCTCAGCCCCAAGGGAATTGTCCAAGGTGTAGGACCGGGCCCTGCTGGCACAAGGCTCGTGGTCTAGGCTGGCTGCATCAAAGTCATCAGGGACCACATCGTAACCTTGGCCAGAGCTTTTGGACGTGGGGTCAGACTTGGTCCGGGGCCTAGTCTCCTCAAAGAAGATTAAGTTCTCGTTGACATCCATCCGGCTTTCCTGTTCCTTCCTTTGTTCCCGCATGTGGAGGTAGCAAAAGCTGACGAGCTCAGAGTCGGCAGGCGGAGGCGTGCAGCGGCTCGACTTCCTGGGGCTGGTGCCCATGCTGCCCACATAACTACTCTCCTTTTTCCCCAGGTGGCCCCCAGTGACAGGGCGGTGGGCGCTGTGCATGTAATCTAAACCCAGAAAGAGAATCAACAGATGAGCCCTGGTGCTGAGGACTGTGGCTGAGCAACCTTGGTGTCTCTGGCCTGGACGTCTCGCAAACAACTGGGTGGCAGGTACTGAGAGAGAGCATTATCTGGCTGCTAGAGATTAGGGGAAGGGGAGTCAACTGGCCATGTCATTGCTGACCCTGAAAGTAGAGTAAGAAGAATCAAATGGCCCGGGCTGCTAACAGCCCCATCACTTCTGAAATGGGAAAGGCATGGGGTGAACACCTTGGTGTCTGGGTACGGCTGGTCTCCTACATGGGTATGTCTGGTCTAAGAGTCAGCTGTAATCATAGTTAAAGAAGTGAGATTTGTGGGGCTGGACCCGTGCCATAGCAGTTAAGCGCGCGCACTCTGCTGCTGGCGGCCCGGGTTCGGATCCCGGTGTGCACCGGCGCACTGCTTGTCAGGCCATGCTGTGGTGGCGTCCCACATAAAGTGGAGGAAGATTGGCACAGATGTTAGCTCAGGGCCAGTCTTCCTCAGCAAAAAGAGGAAGATTGGCATGGATGTTAGCTCAGGGCTGATCTTCCTCACCAAAATAAAAAACAAGTGAGATTTGTTTTATGTCCCCCTTGGAACTGTCCCTGCCCCCTCCCCACCCTTTTCAGAGCCTTTCCAACCCCCGGTGCTCTGTTGCTCTTGTGTTATGTTGAATCTTTTGGCAGAAGGAAATAAATCTGACAAGTTACTAGTGCTTTAGTGGGAAAGTGTAAAACAGGCTACGTACAATACCCAAGAGTTTGCATTTCAAAGAGGACTGTCGATGGAGGGACTCTAAAAGAATAGAGCTCTACTAGTAGAATTCTGGGCATCTGAATGTGTAGTGTATGAGAGATATGCTGGGATGTGCATATGTGGGGGAAGGGCATTCTTACAATTCCTCAAATCATATTACTTCTCTGCATTCATGCAGGGCCAGCCTGCCTGCTACACATACATGAGGCAAAATGTTCTAGTCAACAGTTTTTAATGATGGTAAGTGTGTGCATCTGAGAATTATCCATAGCAAATGCTTTATTTCTGAATGGCTTCTCTCTCTTAGTCTGTTTTGGGGCCCCACCCCATGTCATCTGTGAGAATATACTCAGACAATGCCAACTTACTTTGCTATCGGCAGATAGACAGACAGATGGCAGGTAAGCACTAACTTAAGCTAAGGTCATCACACATGATCCCATTTGATCCTAACAACAACCCAATGAGGTAGGTGCTATCATTATCCCCATTTTACAGAGGAAGAAACTGATTCAGTTGGTTATGTGACTTACCCAAGGTCACAGGAGTCATAAATGGTAGTCTGGATTTGAGCCCAGGTCTGAGGGACCATAAAGCCCATGTTTTTAACCATTACCCTATAGTTCATCAAGGTGGTCAAAATGCTGGAAAACAAAACTTCAAAATGCCTTTCGAATTCCAGTTTGACAGGGTCAGTGTGTCAGTGTTGCTTTTCACTAGAGCTTACAGCCATCACAAAAGCATGGTGCTGGCACCTAACAACAGAGCCCCAAAATACATGAAGCAAAAACTGACCAAATTGAAAGGAGAAATTCAAAATTCAATAGCAATAGTTGGAGACTTCAATACCCCACTTTCAATAATGGGTAGAACAACTAGGCAGGAGATCAACAAGGGAATACAGGATCTGACCAACACTATAAACCAACTAGACCTAATAGAAATCCATAGAATATGCCACCTAACAGCAGCAGAATATATACTCTTCTCAAGCACACCTGGAACATTCTCCAGGACAGACCATATATTAGGTCATAAAATAAGCCTCAATAAATTTAAAAGGAATGAAATCATACTAAGTATATTTTTTGAGCTAACAGAATTAAATTAGAAATTAATAACAGAAGGAAATTTGGGAAATTCTCATGTATGTAGAAATTAAATAAAAAATTCCTAAATAACCAATGGGTCAAAGAAGAAATCACAAGAGAAATTGGAAAATACTTTGACATGAATGAAAATAAAGATACAACATACCAAAACTTACAGGATCTAGCTAAAGTAGTGTTTAGGGGGAAATTTATAGCTGTAAATTAAAAAAGAAGCCTACATTAAAAAAGAAGAAAGATTTCACATCAATAACCTAACCTTCCACCTTACAAAACTTGAAAAAGAGCAAGCTAAACCTAAAGCGAGCAGAAGGAAATAGAAAAGTATAGAGGACAGAAAAACAATAGAGAAAATCAATGAAACTAAAGTTGGTTCTTTGAGAAGATCAATAACATTGACAAACCTTTAGCTGTACAGACCAAGCAAAACAGAGAGAAGATTCAAATTACTATGATCAGGAACGAAAGAAGGAACATCACTACTGATTCTACAGATGAAGAATCAATTATAAGGGAATATTATGAATAAGCTGATGCCAACAAATTACATAACCTAGATGAAATGGACAAATTCCTAGAAATACACAAACTACCAAAACTGACTCAAGAAGATAGAAAATCAGAAATAGGCCAATAACAGAAAAAGAAACTGAATTAGTAATTAAAAATCCCTCCCCCCACACAAAAAAAATAAAGCCCAGATCCAGATGGCTTCACTGGTGAATT